AAAGGAATAAAAAGAACAAGAAAAAAATAAGGAAAAAGTAATGAGAAAATAAACCCTTTGTCATTGCTTTGCGGATAAGTAAAACAAAGTTCAGTTGAAGAGCGAAGAGGAAAAATTCGAACTACCGCACCATTTGAATTTGCATACCGCAAATAACAGCCCTTCTAATGCTCGTCTCTGCATCCCATTGCACGACCCAAAAAGATACGCAGACGCCAACGGACAGGCAGACAAAAAGCAATTAGCTGCAAAAACTACCAATTTATATCAGAAACAGCAGCAGAAATCTTTGTATCTAAATCCTTCTTTCATCTAAATAGCCTAAAAAGCAAAATATTATGCATATCTGACTATGATACTGGCAGTCTTCATTTACGCTTGTGTTAAATGTGTGATTGTTTGTGTTTTTATATTAGATGAATAGTCTCTGTTGACACAAAAAAAAGGAAAATTATGAAGTACTTTTGCCCTATCTTGGTGAAAAGAGTAACCTTCGTAAAAAAACTGAAGGTTAAGAAATATAAAATTGTTAGCGAAAGACTGACTTGATAGAGAACTCAAATAAAACTCTTGTTTTTCCTGCAATACATAAAGGGAAGAAATAAACGAGTGCTGAACTACTCACTAAAAAATATGAAAAATTATCTTTCCTATGAAAATTATTTGAACATCAGTTAAATCACAGATAAAAGAAATAATTCTTGGTTTCAAAGTTGTAGTCCAAATCGTAGTGGTTAAATTGGCTTAGGAAAAAAAAAAGGTGAAAATACATGAAGAGGTTTTTGACAGAAATGCATAAAAAGCAAACCTCTTAGCTGTTTCTAATGATAGGACACTTCGACACTTGGAAATCCTTCTGCTGAAGTGTTAGAAGAAACTAAATGAGAACGACGTAACAGAAGTAATAGTTAAGCTTATTCGTAAACTAATGTCAAGAAAAAAGGCTGTAGCTCATCAGGGCAAATGTACACCATAAACCTGTCTCAGTAAATCATTCAATATTGGCATATGAATATAAAGAAAAAGAAGAACAAATATTAAAAAAAAAAAGAAATGAAAATAAAAAGCAGAAGCAAAAGCAAGAACAAAAACAAAAAAAAATGAAACTATGAATAAATTAACAAAAAAGTTGAATAAATAAATAAACAGGTAAATATAAACATAAATACACATAAATATAAAGTGGAATTCTATTGTCTAACATAAAAAAGTATTTCTTACGCAATCTTTAAGTAATTAGTGTTCGTCGGCACTATCAGTTGCTAACAGTTATAGCAGTACTTTATTATTTATTCAGTATAATTGTCTGTACTGGTATAGCTAAGCAGCTTCTGAAGTTGTCATTAGTTTCCGAGGTGGAAGCAAAAAGACTTTAAGCCTACTTAGACTGTTGCACAGAAGATTGGAGCGTTCATGATGGTGACAGGTGAAAAGGAACCAAGGTTTAAAACAAAATCGTTGAGGTTGCAATCTTCATCAATTCTAAACAGATTTGTCCTTCTAAAATATGCAGAAAAAAATTGTTCCTCTACAATTTTTAAAATATATAAATTGGAGTGACCTAATCACTTTAAAACGTGCTAAGATGAATGATTCTTCTTTATTCCAGCTGTAGTTCAAAACGTTTGAAATAGGAGCGATAGTGTCTCAAAAAATCGAATGCTCACTAGCTTTCAAATTTAAAAATAAACTAAACTGAATAGAAACTAAAGTAACCCGGATATTACGCATATAGATAAATTATTATTCTGATTTTTTGTCTGAAAAGTTTTTGAATTTTTTTTTTGCTTATTGTTTCTTATACTTGAACAATTTGAGCGTAATGAAGGAAGTAACGTCAATTTGAATCACTAAAAAATCTGCATTTCTATAGACGAAGTAAATAAATTCAATTGTCAAGCGTTTTTTCTTTCTTTTCAGGAATAATAGTCAATTATTCTGTTTTCCATTGCCTTCATGATCCTCGTATTTGCGTATTCTATTTGAACAAAAATCAATCTGTTCGAAATGCTTTCCAAACCATTTTTTGCCAATGATATCTGAACAGTGCAAAGCACTGAAGTAGCGCACTTTTTTTGAATTCAGTGTAAACCTTAATGGTCAGCTCTATTAAAAATAACTGTTGGTTTGCCGGTGGTTTTCAAAGTTTGTTGTTCAATTAGTTTCTGTTACCTGTATTTCCTTAGGTTGCTGCAGCGACACACATTAACTCTGGTCTACTTTTGCTCGAATGTTTTCTTAGATCAGTGTCAAAATTTAATAAGACAAAAGTGAAGATTGTTAAATACGACAGTACCGAACAGGTCAAAATAATGAACTATATTTATGCATGGCAATGACGAACGACTAAGCGAAAATAACACGGTAAAATGTATTGGTCAAAATCTGTCTATATTAACAGTTTAGAATAAAGAAGTTAAGCTGAATAGGCACAAAAAAACTGCTTGAAGCTTTAGAACAACGCTTAGTATAAACTGGTCACCTTATCAATTTAAGTTTGTCGTAATAGTTTAAAAAATTTACTAAACTGTTCAATTACGACCTCGTTGGTTTCTCTGAATATAAGTGCAAAAAAAAAAAAAGTGGCTTATTTTGCACTGAACATTAGAAGTTGACATTGTCAAAATATTGAAACAGTATTTGTTGTACTGCAAAAGAGCAGAATATCTGTTTATTCCCAAATCAAAAATCATATGTAAGAAAAACGAAGCGTTACATTAAAGTTGGCAAGAAAGGTTATAAAGTTGTCTTTCGTATTACATTATTAATAATTCAAAAATTAGTTATTTTAGGTGATAAATTTCATAAAACATTAACAGAAACTTTTTAACAATTTTTTTAAAATGTATGAGTTATCTTTCCAGTTATCTTTCCGACCAGTGGTATAGCGCTAAGATCTATTTAGCTTATGGTTTTTACGACACTTTACACATTTGAGTTAGAATTTTCTCAAAATTTTGGTCGTAGAGCAAGTCACACAAAAAGTTTCTGCTATTTTACTAAATTTTAGCAAGTAAAGACTTGTCTAAACAAGTAAAAGACAAAAAAAAAAAATTGTACCTTTAAAATACATAAAAGATAACAGAACTTTGAAATCATACTTGTAAAGTGAACAAAAAGTTGACATTGATCGAAATATTTTTTTATTACCTTTAATTCGTCACAGAAAAAAAAAATCTTTTTTTTTCAAAATCATATAAATACTTGAAAATTTTCAAAAAAAAAAAAAAACAAACATGTTAGTGACATTCAAAAAATTGAAACTTTTATAAATGTGTAGAATCTCAAAACTTGATTCGTAAAGTATCAACAGTGTTCAAAGATCATCAAACATTTTAGCCGTTCTTGCAACAGATTAGTTTTTCTGTTTTTTGGTTTTCAGTTTTTCTCCTCCAGTCACATATGATTGTTTCATTAAAAAAATACAGATTAAATTACCAAGTATTTTTTAGCAATTTTTTCAACTGTGCTTATAATGCTATAAAAAAGAAAAAATTGGAAAAAGATCCTCTTTTTTGATTGCTTAATTAACCGTTATTGTTTGATGTTTTAGAAATATATTTGGAATAAATATATCATACAGCAATGATAAGCCGAAAAAAAAAATTAAACCTACATTATACGTACAGATTTGTCAACAGCATTAAAAGTTCGATAATTTTTCAAAACCACCTATGACAGCAGATT